TGGGCGCGGCACACGGACGGACAGCGTGCGCGATAGACGCTGCGTGCGAGACAAGCACGCGGGTTACCGCTCGCCACGAGGAATAGGTAGGGGCGAGGCGGCGCACGCATACGCGTAAAAGGCGTGCGACGCATGGAAAGGGCCGAAGTGTTTTAGCATGTGAGGAATTAGGGACATTCTAGATTTGCTTGGTGTGCAAGCCAAGCAATAGTTATTTGGTAGGTTTAGGATTTTATTGCTTTCTAGACTTAGGATTTCTATTCTTGCAATATTTAGGAGATCTATTAGATTTAGGCATAGATTTATTTTACAACTATAAATACCCCATGTACCTCATCATATTTTAAAAAAGTTGAATGAAGTATTGAATTGGTGAGCCAATTTTGAGGGGGAACATTATGTTCTTAACGTGTGATAAACGAAGGCCGCAGTGCGTCGTTTATTCGCAACCCAGTATAGACAAAAGATCGATCCGTCATCATTGGTGCTTTCATTGAGAGGTGCTGATCGATATTTTGTCTATCTTATCTTATATTTTTTTTCGGTTTGCCTTTTGCTGAGGGGCCGAATTTCTCTTATTTTTTTTGTTGGGGTTCGAATTTTTGTTCGAATTTTCCCTTTTTTCGAATTTGAGTCAAAAAAAAAAGTCTCATCTTGTTAGTCCTTTGTTATTTTTTTCGGTTATTACCTTTTGCTGAGGGGCCGAATTTCTCTTTGTTTCGATTTTTTTGAGTCTTGTTGGGGGTTCGAATTTTTCGAATTTTTTCCCATTTATTTTTCGATTTTTTTTTTAGAGTCATAAAAAAAAAATTAATTATGTCTTACCCACCAATGGATGAGTTGGATTGGGAAGATCTTGAGATGTTGGAGGGTTTAGAAAGAGAGGTCACACCATGGGAGGCAACATATTTAGACGAGCTTCATGAGAGGAGGAATATAGAGGAGTATGAACGACAACTCATGGAAGCCCGAGAAGCGATAGTGGTTGAGAACAATGAAGGGGAAGGTGCGCTTAACTTCTTAATCCTTGAGGA